TTAATCTTGTATATGATGCTCCAAACATCAGCCCAAGCCTCTATTCACATGTCTATTTCATTTCCTCTTCACCAGAAGCACCATGAAGCACCCAGATTTGCTGACTATCGGATCTATTTTCTTGGTGACCTGGAGATTCCACGGGTATTTCCATGCAGCAAAATCGCTGCAACATTGACACATCATACCGCACAGCCATGTGGCATAGAGCCAAAAGATGCTGTGGGCCCCGTTACCTTCTTCCATCATTCATGACCCCTCTACCTTTCGTCCAGTCTCCTCAAGTTTGATGGTTTCATTTTTCTTATTTTCTTTGTTCTTCGTTCTTACTTAGTACTTTCTTTCTTTCCCTGCCTGCTCTCTTGATTGCAGAGTCCAATTGACTCACAGATTTGTTTATTCATTTTCTCTATTCATCGAATCACTTTGATTTGCTTGTGTCTTGTTCATGGTGTGTTTGTTTGTTGGTGCTCTGATTTAGTGGTTAATTCAGTCACTTGCCGTACTTGTTGTTTATATTTGCCACTGACCAAATTACGCCGGGACATTGCCATCTTCAATGCGCGGCAGGAATGTCTGTTGGGCGTGGCGCAAGCTTCGTACCACGGAGCCAAAACAACAGCCCTGGGGCAGCCCGCGCTTCCCAGATGGCCCGGTGCTCCGCGGACCACTGGGCAGGAGAGCGGTTTATCGTGGGAACCGATGGAATCGGTCATATGTCTCATTTCAGTGGTTTCAGTCGGTTTCAGTCCAGATAACCACATTGTTGGATCCAGATTTCAGATGTGTTGAGCTTTGTGGCACTGCATTTTTTGGGTCTGGGTATCTAACCGTCCGACACTTTGGATTGTAAAATTGTAATGCTGGATACATATGAATACATATGAATACATATGATACATATATTGGCCTGTAAGGAACTCCAAGTCTCAATGGCACCCTTGCTTCAGCTGTGACCAAGATGCAGGTGGCATATCCAGTCCCAGACTCAGATGATCCCAAGGCATCCGAGGTGGAATAGATGGGGACCATGGGGGGACCGCAGCCTCACTTCGCCAGAGATGGAAATAGATTTGACAATTTTGGGCCCTGTTGGATTAGTGGCTTAAATATCTTAATGTGGTTTGGATTCATTTGGCCTTTCCCTTGTTCTTCACACTTTAGCTCGGAAAAACTTCTTTTTAGTGGGTTGAATAATAGCGGTCGTCAGCTTTGTCACCCATTGGAGCCCTCAAAATCAATGGCTTGATTGGCCAATTTGGAAGCTGGACGCCCAGATGAAACCAGATAGTTGACATTTGCTTAATGCAGAATTTTGGAACATGTGGGATGGGGCAACTCTGGTGTAGGAGGCGGGCTTTTTTCCGGCTTACAACAATCTGAATAGAGCCATACGCGAATTAAAGGTATACCATGATGCACTACTTTTCGTTGGGTGGTGATAGAAGGAATATGAAGGGATGATGTCGCTGACTCCAGGGGAATTGTTTCCTTCAAAAGTGAATAAACTTCAAAACATTGGTGCAGAAGTTGGACAGCAAACTCGTAGCCAGACTTTCTCAAGGATCCGTGATCAAATGGGAGTTTTCCCAAACACCCGGGGCTCCAGACATATCATTTCTTTGGGTAGAAGAAAGGCTGGAATCGAGCTTGGTTTCACCATTGGAATTCGAGTTGCATCGATTCTCATTGCATCGATATCCTTTCTTTCAGCGGATTCTTGGAACGGTTGCCAGTGTTGCCAGTGCTGCCAGTGGACAGGAGTATTTGGAAAAGTTCAGCACCTTCCTCCGGGACAACCCACAGGTAGCGACGGTTTTTGGGACAACTGACAACAGGCTGGTAGATTATATATAGATGATAGATTGGAGAGATTAGATATACTAGATGGACTGGATAGATCGATAAGATTGACTGGATCGATTGGATCGATTAGACCAATTAGATGGATGAGATAGATCAGATAGATTGGATAGATTAGTCCGATTAGATGGATTAGATGGATTAGATGGATTAGATGGATTTGGATGGAGTAGATGAACATATTGATAAGATAAGACAGAATTAGATTAGATTAGATAGATCAGAGAAATTAGAATAGACTACACTAGACTAGAAAGATAGAATAGAATACAGTAGCTTGGTTGTGATTAGAATAGACAGATAGGTAGATAGATAGATCGATGGATAGAAAGAAAGATAGAAATCTACATACTGTAGATAGGTAGACACGCAGACACGCAGACAGAACAGCAGATAGGTAGATGGACGGATAGATCAGATAAGACAAGAGTAGACTGGAATAGAACGCACAGATATGCACAGATATGCACAGATGTTTCATCGAATCGCAGTGGATTGGATGGGATCGATGAAACAGAGAAACTAACAGTTGGACGCTTGGATCTGGTCATGGCCAGGTGGGCATCTTCATTTTCGAACCCCAGTGGGGCTCCAGTCGTTTGGGGCGGACCTGGCCGCCAGCATTGTTGCTTGCGGAGAGAACGCCTGAAAATAGATGTGATAACTCCAAAGGCGAAAGCCAGCAAAAACATATCCGTATCATTCAAAATTCAATCTCTACTTGATCCTGTTCGAGTACTTCGATCAGTATACAGCACTCCTACATAAACATAAAGACATTGGTTTGCTCGAAACTATGCTGCTCCCAGATCCAATGACTTACCACCATTTTCCAAAATGAAGATGGCAAATTTGACGCATACCATTTCTATACTTATACAAAACCCACACCTGCATACATATACAATATACATCAATATATAGTAGCATACCTATCTATCATTTAATATTTATGCCGTTTATGCCTATACTTTTTGTGTATATATACTTAAGTTATGTACATATAGATAATGCAATATATATATATATATATGTATAAACACGCGTACATATGTATATATACATTACACACTACATGTATAGATCTGTCTTCGATGTGCTGTGTCCTAAGGCTTCGAGAGGTGATCTCTCGCTGTCATGCGGCCTCTCGCTTTGTGCTTTGCGATGAGGTCATGTGTGGCTTAGGCGAGGACAGGTAGAAAACTTGGTGCAAGGAGCAAATCTTTGGTCAGAAATTGGTGTCTTTCATATTAGCGAATTAAGTTTGGAAGATTGATTTTTGAGTAAATTGTGGATTTTAAAGGTGCACATTGCATGGGTCTTGGTTTCCCACTTCTGTGAAGCTACCTCTTGACTGAATACATTTGTCGATTGCACAAGGATGCAGATGACTAGATGACTTTGTTTCAGTGGTTGGGAGGGGGGCAGGACGACAACAAAAATACACAGATTGATACGGGACAGAGGCCAGACAACCTCATACACTCAATGAAAGAATCCTCGTTTTTGAAAGCAATGGGAACGGTCAGAACATGACTTTGTGTTGACATTCAGAAACAAAGACAATTCTGATGGAATCATCTCAACATGTTGATATGATCTGTATATTTTTTTGTGTGTATCCATACCTGGATTTAATTTGGCGTAAGTAGGTGGAACGAAGGTGCGGGCGGGTTTGCTTTTGCACCCTTGCGGACCATCCGATGAACAACATCCATCACCATCACCAGTAGGCAATGCCATTGCCAAGAGCAGAATGTTCACATCCCAAAACTAGGCCGGACAATTTCCAGGTGCCTTCAGCCGCCAGGCCGGCATGGACATGGCTCGCTGTTCTTGAGTGCCGCATGGAATCTGAGACCCGATGCGGTGACCTTTGGCAAATCCATGGCATCAGGCCGGGGAGCCATTGGATTTGGCCGTAGCCATTGCAGCCACTACCAGAGCTGATACTTTTTTGAAACATTTTGAGACGATCAGTGGTCATCACACATTTTTAATCATTTTTACATCTTTTCTAGCGTTTGTCAATTTGTTGGTTTTCAATTTGTCAATTTCTTGACATCCCTGTTTTCGACTTCGGCGCTTTCTGTACAAATTTTTCAAAATGATTATCGCATGCCATCGCATGTTATCGCCAAGAATTATACCTCTAGGTGACGCCGCATGTAGCGGGGCGGACCAACAACAATTTTGACAACCAGGAACCAAGAGACAACACATGCGAGGGCGAACAAAATTTTGACAACAAACAATCGCAGAATGTAAACGAGGGCGAACAAAAACAAACAATTCCGATTCCGATATATGTGTGTCATTTTGTTGCGATCGAACGCAACCGGCAGCATGCGTTGAATTGCAGAGATTCGTACAGTGTGTTCGACATACTGTCTGATAGCATCAAAACACGACAGCAGCAGACCTTGCCATCAGGCACAACACATGCTCAATATTTTAAAACATGATCTATTTTCTATCCGCTTTAGAACGTTTTCCAAACCCTCGGCACTTGGACACAACGGATCTGGATCGCTTTATGATGGCAGCTTTGAGCATGTTCGAGCAACCTGCCTAATTAAAAACAATGTTCGAAACCCTGACCAAATCCAACCTGAATATATTTGTTCAATCAACTTTGGCCCAAAGTCTGTGAACAGAGGCAGTGTGGGCAGCGCGCAAAATCTAGTGACCCGCCCCAGGGTTTCAGCAGGCAAGACAAGATCCCAGAGAGGCAAACCGTTTTGAGCAAATTTGAGACCAAATGCTCAACAAACATGGCGTTCTTGGCAAATGTGACACAACATCCTTTGACAAACGCGCCTTGTCCAACGAGAGTCAGACGAGATCTGTGTACAGCGGCAGTGTTTACAGCACGTGTGATACGACGACACTTTCCCAAAAAAGTGTTCCCAGCGTGCACTACTTAATCCGCTAACAGTCAGAAATTTGACCTTGTAGCGCATGATACCAGACTGTTTCAACCACGTGTTGCTGGGTGGCACACATTGTCGTGACACGTGCATTGTCTCCACCTCCGTAGCACAATACCTGCAAAAGGCACAGCGTTGCAAAAAGGAATCAGCTGACCGACGGCTACAAAGCACAAGGCATGCCAGATCACTACAACATGTTACATGACGTTACATGCACATGAAAATGTCGCCTTCTACACGTCTTTGTTTCATAGGCCAAAAGTAACATTCAATAGTAAAATATTCATTGCTACAAAATAAGATTTGGTCTTAGAGTCTCATTAAAGACTCTGAAACAAATTTTGCTACAAAATCCTGGTGCTTGCAGCTGCAATTTGTTGGTGTTTCTTAGTGGCAGTTCGTGGTTGAAAGCTAACCTGACGTAGCCATTGCCATTTGTTGGATTCGGCTTATGGGCAGGTTCCTTTTCAGTGTTTGTTTGGTGAGCGTTGTTAGTCTAACTGTTAGTCTTGGGGGCTGCTGGTGGGTTCTGAATGGAGAGCGGTCAAGAACGCCAGAAACGCCCAATATGAGTGGCCCGAGTGACCCAATCCTTCGTTTGTAATGCTCGATTTACTCCCTTTCATAGTGGAGTGCATAGTTTTGACGTCCTGTTTCCGATAGCTGCCGTACCCTCCCCCTTTCAAGAAACTTCATTTACAATTTTTTTTGATGCTTGATGGTTCTATGATAGTCAAAGAGTAGCCATTGCCATTGCTGTGTGCATTTTGGGTTAGTTCCGCTTCTTTCTCCATGTTTTCTTTGCTGAATCGTGGAACTTGTGTAGAGAAGGTTGTCTGAAAAGCGGCGAATTTTCCACTGGGAAACTCGAAACCACACCATATGGCCATATAAACATAGCAAACTGCCTGAAACATAGCACCGTGGCACCGTGCGGCTGTGTTATGATTTCCGGATTTTGTGCAGCGCCGTGGGAAATTTCCACTGGAACGCGGAGTCTTCGTTTCATCCTTCCTTCACGAACAAGACGGCTCTGCAAGAAAGGTGTATGTTTAATTCTTTGGAAGGCTTTTGCGGGCCTGTTTTGCAGCAATACTTTGCCACTACAAATAATTTTTCATGCTAGTGACCAGCAAGGCTCTGAATCATAAACATATATAATACATTTGATTAAACTTTCTGAATAAGATCTTCAACCCTACTTTTCAATCTTCCAAAGTCCGCAAAAATCGTAAATTTGAAGGGGATCAATCATTGTAGGGGGAGGAATTTGCGACAAATCATACCGAATTTGAGTTCGACCTTGCAACACCCCAACTTACACTACGGTAGATTGTGTCATTTACTTTTAATATACAATCATTATTGGAATCTTTGAACATCATTCAACATCATTGTGAAAAGGTTTGTTGGCAGGTGCGTCCTGACATCAATTTTACAACCAATCATTGCATCTCGATGACGTTGATCCAACTTCAATATTTTTTTGGGATGCCACATGATGCCGCACAACCGCCTCACTAGTTGTTTGAACATATGGGCCCAAAATCCATCAAAATCCAGTGGACAGGTGCAACATTTGCAGACACTCTGTTGGTACTTGCGCCAAAACAGTGTTTCACGTGGGTGCACGCCAAATCCGCTGACAGGTGCAGCATTTGTAGACACTCCGTTGGTACTTTGTGCCAACACAGTGTTTCATGTGGGTGTGCGCCAAATTCGCTGACAGGTGCCGTGTTTCACGTGGGTGTACGCCAAGTCCGCTTTGCAGACGCTCCATTGGTACTTGCGCCAGGACAGTGTTTCACGATGATGCACGCGGAATCCGCTGACAAGTGCAACGTTTGCAGAGACAACAGTGGCACTCGCGCCAAAACGGTAGGTGTTTCACATAGGTTTCAGCCAAATCCGCTGACAGGTGCAGCATTTGTAGAAGCTTCGTTGGCACTTGTGCCAACACAGTGTTTCACGTGAGTGTACGCCAAATCCGGTGACAGTTGCACTTGCAGATTTTGCAGACACTCCATTGGTACTTGCGCCAAGGTAGTGTGTCATGTGAGTGTACGCCAAATTCGCTGACAGGTGCAGCATTTGTAGAAGCTTCATCTGGGTGTGCGCCAAATCCGCTGACAGGTGCAGCATTTGCAGACGCTCCGTTGGTACGTTCGCCAAGGCAGTGTTTTCACATGAGTGTACGCCAAATCCGCTGACAAGTGCAGCATTTGCAGACACTCCATTGGTACTTGGGTCAGAACATTGTTTTACGTGGGTGTACGCCAAATCCGCTGACAGGTGCAGCATTTGCAGACACCCGTTGATGCTTGCGCCAAAACAGTGTTTTACGTAGGTTTCAGCCAAATCCGCTGACAAGTGTAGCGTTTGCAGACACTCTGTTGGTACTTGCGCCGGGGCAGTGTTTCACGTGGGTGTACGCCAAATCCGCTGGCAAGTGCAACATTTGCAGACACTCCATTGGCACTTGCGCCAAAGCAGTGTTTCACGTGAGTGTACGCCAAATCCGCTGACACGTGCAGCATTTGCAGGCACTTGGTACCTGCACCAACGCAGTCTTACGTGAGTGTATGCCAAATTTGCTGGCACGTGCAACATGTGCAGACACCCCGGTGGTATTTGCGCCAAGACCGTGTTTCAGGTAAGTGCGCGCCAAATCCGCTGACACATGCAGCATTTGTAGACACTCTGTTGGTGCTTGGGCCAGTGTTTCACGTGGGTGTACGCGAAATCCGGTGAAAGGTGGAGCATTTGCATACAGTCTGTTGGTCCTTGCGCCGAGACAGCGCTTCACGTGGGTGTACACCAAGTCCGGTGACAGTTGCAGCATTTGCAGACGCTCCTAGGCACTTGAACCAAGACAGTGTTGCACGTGGGTGTACGCCAAATCCGCTGACAGGTGCAGCATTTGCAGACAGTCCGTTGGTACTTGCGCCAAAGCAGTGTTTCAAGTGGGTGCACGCCAAATCCGCTGACAGGCGCGGCATTTCTAGACACTCAGTTGACATTTGCGCCAAGACAGTGTTTCACGTGAGTGCGCGCCAAATCGGCTGACAGGTGCAGCATTTGCGGACACTGCGGTGGTACTTGCGCCACGACAATGTTTCACGTGGGTGTACGCCAAATCCGCTGACACGTGCAGCATTTGCAGACACTCCGTTTCTACTTTTGCGAATGCGGTGTCATGTTGGTGCGCGCCAAATCTTGTGAACACGCCCAGCATTTCCAGACACTCCGTTGGCACTTGCGCTACGACGGTTTTTCACGTAGGGTTGCGCCAAATCCGCTAACAGGTGCAACCTTTGCATCCAGTCCGTTGTGCGCCAAATCCGCTGACAGGTGCGTCATTTGCGGACGCTCCGTGGGTGCTTGCGCGAAGACGGTGTTTCATGTGCGTGTGCGCCAAATCCGCTTACAGGTGGAGCATTTGCAGACAGTCCGCTGGTACTTGTGCCAAGGCAGTGTTTCACGTAAGTGTGCGCCAAATCCGCTGAGACGTGCAGTATTTGCAGACACTCCATTGGTACTTGCGCCAACGCAGTGTGTCACGTGAGTGTATGCCAAATCCGCTGACACGTGCAGCATTTGCAGACACTCCGTTGGTACTTGCACCGAGGCACTGTTACGTGAGTGTATGCCATGTACACGAAATCCGTTGACAGGTGCGGCATTTGCAGAAGCTACGTTGGCACTGCCGCCAAGACAGTGTTTCACAATGATGCATACCGAATCCGCTGACGAGTGCAGCATTTGCAGAGACAACAGTGGTACTTGCGCCAAGACAGCCAGTGTTTCATGTAAGTGTACGCCAAATCCGCTGACTGGTGCAGCATTTGCAGGCCCTCCGTTCGTGTTTGCGCCGAGACGGTGTTTCACGTGAGTGTACGCCAAATCCGGTGACAGTTGCAGCACTTGCAGATTTTGCAGACACTCCATTGGTACTTGCGCCAAGGAAGTGTTTTCACATGAGTGTACGCCAAATCCGCTGACAAGTGCAGCATTTGCAGACGCTCCATTGGTATTTGGGTGAATATTGTTTTACGTGGGTGTACGCCAAATCCGCTGACAGATGCAGCATTTGCAGACGCTCCGTGGGTACTTGCGCCAAGGCAGTGTTTCACGTGAGTGTACGCCAAATGCGTTGACAGGTGCAGCATTTGCAGATGTCCGTTGGCACGTGCCTAGGCAAAGTGTTTCACGTCGGTGTACACCAGATCTGTCGACAAGTGAGGCATTTGACGGCGCTTCGTTGGCTTTTGCCCCAACACAATGTTTCACGTAGGTGTACGCCAAATCCGTTGACAGGGACAGCAGGTGCAGCACTTGCAGACGCTCCGTTTGCACTTGCGCGAAGACAGTGCCTCACGTAGGTGTACGCCGAACCCGATAACAGGTGCGGCATTTGCAGATGTTCCGCTGTTACTTCCACCAATATAACGTTTCATATAGATGTGACATGATGTGACCAAATCCGCTGACAGGTGCCGCACACCGTTGCGCCAACACAGTGTTTTCATGTAGGCGCACGTCAAATCCGCTAACAAAAGCGGCATTTGCAGACGCTCCGTTGGTGCCCGCGTGTTTCAGGAAGGTCCGAGGTGCGCGGTATATGTGCGAATCAGTGCAGCATTTGCAGACACTCCGTTGGTACCTGCGCAAACACAGTTTCACGCTGGTGTACGCCAAAGTCGACCACAGATGCAGCATGTGCCGACGCTCCATTAGTACTCCCAACTGCCCAAGTCGTGGCGAAATCCCAAAAATCTTTGAAATTAGCTTGGGGGAAGGCTTTTGTGGAAGTCGTGGCGATGCGGCGTTTAGCTTGTGTTTAGGGTAGGTTGCTGTTTTACTATCTCATGTAGACCTAAAGTGGCGAAGCGGCGTTTAGGTAGTGTTTGGGGTAGGGCGTTGTTTTACTGTTAGCATAGTGCTTTAATCTTGCTAGTTGCGTTCTCATTGTGTTTGGGATGGTTGCTGTTGGGTTCTGCAGCTACTGGGGTCTTGCTGTTGCTGCGGCTGCTGGTTCGACGGCTGCTGCTGTCGCTGTTTCCGGGTACTTCTACACAACTCTGGGATTATCATCTCTACACTGCCATGGCGGTGTGCTGGGATTCTGCAAATTGTCATTGTTTCGCTGCCAGTGATCCAAGGAAGGGCAGTTTTGCGGCTTGCGGGCCAAAGTCCATGTGTGTAGATGCGGGGTTTTTTCCGTACCTCGTTTTGACCTCGTTTTGGACCTCGTTTTTTTCCTTTATCAGAACCCATCCTGCAGTATACAAACTAGGAAAAGGGCCTGCTTCGCGTTTTTGTTTGTGGGCGTCAACAGTACCCACGAAAAAAGGCCCGTTGGAAACCGGCGTTCCGATGGGATTCGATCAAAAACGAATAGAACCATGATAGTTTGGTCAAGGCTTGTTAAAGCTAGCGTTTCCAATGGGGAAAGGGGTTTTGCAAGGTCTGTGCCGGGACAGGGGTCGTGGCGAGCGTTTTGATTGGGAATAGCTGTCAAACGCAAACGTTGCGAGGACTTTGGCGTATGGGTGTACCTGCGCCACCAAATCTTTTCACGAATGGTACACCAAATCCATTGACAAGTGTGGCGTTTGCAGACACTGCGCGAACTTGCGCCAACACAGCGTTTCACGTAGGTGTATCGCAAATCTGCTAATAACAGGTGCAGCACTTGCAGACCCTCCGTTGGTATCTGCACCAACACAGTGTTTCACGTAGGTGTACGGCAAAATTGCTGGCAGCTGCGGCATTTGCAGACATTCCGTGGGTATCTGCAGCAACGCAGTGTTTCACGCCGGTGTACGCCAAATGTGCGGCATTCGTAGACATTCCGTTGCCGCTTGCGCCAACGCAGTGTTTCACGCAGGTGTACGTAATCCGCTGGCAAATGCAGCGCTCTGTTGGTACCTGCGCCAACACAATCTCTGAAGTAGATGTGCGCCAAATCTTTTTGACAGGTACAGCATTTGCAGACATTTCCTTGCTGCCTGCGCAAACTTTTTTTTTCACGTAGGTATACGCATGTGCACGCTAAATCCGTTGACAGGTGCAGCATTTGGGGACATTCCGTTGGTACTTGTGCCAGTACGGTGTTTCACGTAGGTGCCAAATTAGATTTGTTGACAGGTGTAACATTTGGAGAAGCTCCGTTGGTACCTGCGCCATCGCATTTTTTCACGCAGGTGTATGCCAAATTATTGACAGGGACAGCTTTGTAGACGCTCCGTTGGTGCCTTGGCTAAAGCAATATTTCACGTCGGTACAGGTACAGTATATGATAGTGTATGTCAAATCCGTTGACAGGTGCAGACATTCCTTTGGGGTGCTTCACGTAATTAGGTGTACGCCAAATGCGGTGACAGGCGCAGAATTCGCAAACACTTTGTTGGTACCTACGCCAACACAATGTTTCACGTAGCTGTATGCCAAACCTGGTTGACAGGTGCAGCCTTTGCAGAAATTTCGTTGGTACTTGCGCCAGCGCAGGTTTTCACGCATGTGCACGCCAAATCCAGTGACAGGTGCGGCATTTGAAGACGCTCTTTTGGTGCCTGCGCCAGATCAATGTTGCACGTAGGTGTACCCGCGCCAACACAATGTTTCACGTAGGTCAACTCCAAATTCTCGGACGCAGAATTTGCAGAGACCTCGGTGGTACCTACGCCATCCTACGCCAAAGCTTTTTCAGGTAGGTGTACACCAAATTCTTTGACAGGTGCAGCATTTGGAGACGGTACCTGCGCCTATGCATGCCTGCACGCTGTTTCACGTAGGTGACCAGGTGTGCGCCTAATCCCGTGACAGGTGCAGGTACGCCAACCGTGTTTCAGGCAGGTGTACGCCAAGTGTAGCATTTGTTGGTACCTACTTAACACACTGTTTCACATAGGCGTACACCATTTCAAAGCCGCTGACGTGTGGGGCATCTGTAGACACCTCGTTGGTACCCATGCAAACACAGTGTTGCACGTAGGTGTACGCACAATCCGCTGACAGACGCCTCGTTGTTACCTGCGCGAACACGATCTCTCACGTAGGCGCGCGCAAAACCTCCTGACAGGTGCCCCGCTGGTACCTGCGCCAGCACTGCGTATCACCTAGGTGTAGGCGCAAGCCCGTTGACAGGTGCAGCATTTGCATGAATCTTGCTAGTACCTGCGCCAAAACGACCTTTCATGCAAGTATACATCCAATCCGCTAAGGAGCAGCGTGTGCAAACAGCTCACAGGCACCTGCACCTACACAGTGTTTGGCATCCAGTTTTTTCCTCCGTTGCCGGCAGCAACATGTGCAGACATTTCCCTAATACTTGTGCTAACACAGTATTTCACGTGGGTGAACGCGAAACCCTTGTTGATCTTGTTGTTTCCCCAGCATGATGAGGGCTGTTGATTTTCAAGATCCACATGCCATTGCGCGGCTCACCAACCAATCCTCCAACCAATGCTAATCAGTCGTATTGGTAATCAATTACGGATGGCGGAACAGGGCCGGCGCATTGGCTTCGAGACAGGGTGATGTGAGGCCTTCAATGTGCGGCACATACGAAATACCCATTCACTTTCCAATCCATGTACCAGTTCAAGTTCAATTGCCACATGTTTTGGCATTTTTTTTTATTTTTCATTTTTTGAAACACACGGGAACGAACCCCAGCATTGAAATGTTGCACGCTGAATGCGGGCGTGGCATGATTATTTCAGTGCTGCCACATGAGCGGAATAGATTTTGCACGCGGGCAGGCACTTTTCCTTTGTCGGGCGTTCTTGTGTTGCACGGCGGGAAGACATTGCTGGAAGGTGGCGCCAAGATTTTGCAAAGCCACACTTATGCAGGGTCGTCGGCTTTGGCATACCTTACTGCGATTGAAATTCTGAAAGAAGTGCCATGCTGGTTCAGTCGGGCTGCTGCCTTGGGGTGCGTGGTCCGAGGCTTGGCGCTAATGATTTAATGACGGCATTATGGCATTGGTTAGGTCTGTTGACAGAAAATTAGTTGAGCCAGATGGCCTGGTCATCGCGCCAAGGAGAAATACTTGGCCCTTGCCAGCATGATAGCTTTTTTCAGCTGCACGGGCAAGGCCTTTTGTGGGGAGGCGGGGGGCAATACTGCGCAGTGATCAGACATGCGGCTGCAAGTTCGGAAAATCAAAGGACTTGTTGCCCCAGTGGCCGACAACAAGGAATTCAATTGCTGTAGGATTTTTTTTGGGGGGTATGGTTGGGCAATAATAGCTAAAGGATGAATAGAAGAATCGAGTCCCAAAAGGGGCTCCTACATCATTTGACCGCTTGTGTTTGCCAAAATGGAAGAAAATCACTTACACTGTTTCTGGCTTCCCGTAGAATCGCTGCAGTGTTAAGCCGCTTTGCAGGCGAGTTCTTGGATTCCAAATTTGTTCTCAAGGACTTCCGGGAGGCATGCCATGAAAAGAAAGTGTGGCCATACATCGTTCCGTCCTGGCGCTTGGGTTTCATGAGCCTGGCCAGCAAGAACCCCGCATTGAAAACCAGCTGGAAAGCGAACGAGAAAATCAAATGACGCAGGAGATGCATGTCTTGTTTTGAATTTCTGCTGCTGCTACTGCTGCTACTGCTGCTGGTGGTGC